CTTTCTTTCTTTCTTTCTTTCTTTCTTTCTTTCTTTCTTTCTTTCTTTCTTTCTTTCTTTCTTTCTTTCTTTCTTTCTTTCTTTCTTTCTTTCTACTGAATTTAGGTTCATTTTTGGCACAAAATATGAGCAGTGACAACTTTTATAATTTGTCCAAAACACGTCTCCATTGTCCCACCTCATCTCCATTCACCTCCACCACCTCTTTAAGGTCTTAAAACATTTTTTTACTGTTTTTGTTAATAAATGACGTTTTACAGAATATAAGAGTGACACGAAAACGTCACCAATGGCACACCTAAGAGGTGGCTGAGAAAGCGCGTGCAGTGTGCACACCTTGTACAACTTTTGAGCAAAGAATTCCAAAATAATCGACTAGTTTTACAATTTGTAATCACCTGATACAAACTTATTATTTAGTTTTCAGATCAAGTCTCCATGAAATCAGCTGCACATTTTTTCCCCCGGTAGGAGTGGGAACACAGCAGAAGTTTCCACTGATGTGAAAAAAATCTGAAGAATTGCAGAATGCATCAAGTTTGTTGAATTTAAAACTAAATGAAAAGACGTCACTTTACTACAGTTCCTTGTTTCGTTTGCACAAATGAATTTGTAACACTTGAATAAAAATGTCCTATGTCACACCTGTAGGATCAGTTTCCCCGCTTAAAAGAGACAAAAGCCATGTTTTTAGCCATTAAATGCATTTTGTTGTGCAGCCTCTGCAAAAAAATGGGTGCTGCATAGATATYTTTACATTTTGTTTGGGTCATATTTTTCAACCTGTTCAGTTTTCTCTATTTTGAACAACATTTTCTGTACTATTACAGCACATTATGTGTCACAGTCTGAGCTTACAAACCTTGGTTGTCTTCATTCTCCTTTGGCTCTGGGTCAGACTCTAGGATGGATGGACAAGTCTTCACTTACTAACGTATTTGAATTAATTTCTTAATAAAAATTTTCTGCACTGCTAACCGGTGGACCATGCAGTCGCTGGAGAGGGTGGTGAAGCTCCTCATTTGGATTTAAAGAGACAGCCTCAAATTGTGTTGATCTGAGACACAYCTCAGAAAGAGGGGCTTGTGGAGTAATAATAAGGAGGAATTCAGACTAAAGCATCGCAGTTTCACTTTTACATGTAGACTCCAACTGAATGATTTAAATATGAAAAAGAAGGATTTTAAAGCCTATGTCTCCTTTAACATTGACTCTGTTTTTGTTTGTTGGTTTTACTTAATATATACCCAAAACAAATGAATGCAGCAGTTGTTTTGGAAAATCAAGAACTGTCAAAATGTTGAACACGCATGCACACGCACGCACACACACAAACACAAGTTTGCACAGCTACACATTTGGGGACATTCCATTGACTTCCATTATATTTCTACAGCCTAACCCTGACCACAAACCCTAAGGCTAACCTCACAGGTACCTACCTGATCCTAAAACTAACCTAACCTCAAAAAGAAAAAAAATTGTATAGGTCTTCTGGACGGGTTCTTCTCTAATGAAACATTTCGTCTCTCCTCCAAGAGACTTCTTCAGTCTGAGAGTTTCAGGCAAAATTCAGACTTTTAAGCCCTGCCTCCATGTGACTAATACTCACATCACATGGCTATTGCTATACAATTTTTTTCTTTTTGATTTTTTACCTGAATTACAGAGATGCATCAGGATAACCTAAACTCAATTCACACCTTGGTTCTAAACCCAACCCCCACCCCACCAATGGCATTTAAACCAAATGGGGACTCTACTTTTGTCCCCAAATGCACCAGTTGTCCCCAAATGTAGGATTTTTGTCCTAAAATTGCCCCCCAAATGTCACCAGAAACACCCCCCCACACACACACACGCACACATACACGTAGCATCACCAACACCAACATCATGCAGCTAACCAGTAGATCCACCTTCCTGTTGTTATTCACCAGTACACTCTAAATCAGTGGTTCCCAAAGTTGGGGTCGAGWCCCACAATGGGGTCCCAAAACATCAAGGCGGGGTCCTGAAAAGATTTTCTGAAATAATTGCATTAGAAAATAACAACTAACAACAAATTGTTTTGCCTTTGTTGTTACAAAAGAGTAAGGTTAGTGTACATAAAATGGACATAAACAGCATTATAAAAATTGCTACTATGCTCTGATTTTTTTATTTTTTTTTACATGAAAACAATGTTTATCATCCAACATCAGTTGGGGGCTCAGGTCTCTGCTGCTGGTATTTTGAGGGTCAAAAGCTGAAAAGTTTGGGAACCACTGCTCTAACTGCTTGGCTGGGATTTGACAACAGTTTTGGTGGGTGGGAGAGGTAGCAGAGTTGGGGGGAGGGGGTGCAGGTCAGATTATAAAATGACACAAAGACTGATAAGACCTCCTCTGGCAAGCTGGCTTCAGTGAAATGATTAACCYGTATAGAGAAAGCAACATGAAAGGATAAAGTGAGGGAGCGTAATAATCAGGACTAAAACTTTATTTGAACTCACGTGTAAATGATGTTTTATTGATTAAAAATAGTTTTGGTTTGCAGTTTAARGGGATAAAATTTCCTACAAAATGACACATGAACTGGTCAACAGTAAAGATGAAACTCTGGATTATTTCTGAGCAGTTTTTTTTTTTAATTGCCAAGTCTGGATTTACCTGACTGTCACAGTCTCAAACACACCTGAACCGATTATTATGGCTGTAAAACACAATGTGCTGCCTGACATCAACTTTGGTCATCTTGTATGATTTCATCAGTCGTCTTTATAAGCTTTGTACATTTTTACAAGATTAAAGATTATACTTGTGTATGTGTGCAGAAAACTCACAAAAAATTAATAAAATTGCAATCCAGTTAATAACAATTGCAGCGGGCTTCTGAAGAAACTGACTGAAATCATTAAATCATAATCAGTGAGCGGTTGCTGTTCTCTTCATAACCAGGAAATCCCCCCTGTTCCCACCCRCTGACACGAACTTGTACACATGCCCCCCCACCCCCACCCCCACCCCACTGCACGGCTGTTTGCTCAATTGGAGGTGTAATGCAAACAACCATTTGTTCTAAAAATACTGCAGTACTCAGAGTACAGAGCAAAAACTCATAAAACAAAACAAAGAAGGTGCTGGTGGGGCACGAACAGAACCTTTGCAGATGCAAACAACGTTACAAGAGAATAAAATCCCTCTCTAAGGCTGTGTCCAAAACGGCAGGACGGGTCCTCCGAAGGTCGAATTTGTCGGCTGCATACGTCACAGCGCCGCGACGAAGGACGTCCAAAACGGAAGACTCCTCCGATGCGTCCGACAAATACGTCCTTCTTTTTCCCCGAATAGAAGGACAGGTCCGATGGATCCTTCCCAGCCCAGCATATCCCATGTTGTGGAATACTGATTATGTATCACCTTGACACTGTCCAATTGTTCATATC